CCCCCGCAGCGCGGGGCGGGAGGGTCCCCTGCCCCAGGGCCACCGCACACGCAGCGGTGGGGGAAGCCCTGGGACGCCCTGCGGAGATGATGCGCGCCCCTAGGCTCCTTGGGATTCCCCCTTCCTTGGGCTTTGCGTTCTGGAGACCTACCCCTAGCCCTCTCCTTACCCGACCCTGACCGGGCGCTCCCCGCTCAGCACCCCACCCCAACCCCTAGGGAACTGGGCAAGGGGAACCTGCTCCCCATGCTGGGGCAAGCAATTCTCCAGGGAATGGAGCCCAGGGGATGGGGGTGACTGGGAGCTCAGATGGGATCTGACTTCGCTCTGGGCACTTCAGGATTGAGGCCAGCCCCAAGAATCCCACTTTGAAGATTCCAGGGGAAAGCTGGGTTGGTGGCCACCTTAACTCTACGGTCCCACAGGGGGGCGCTCTGCATACTGGACTTTCTTTCCATTGCTTGCGCCCCTACCATCTGCAGAACTGTGACAAGTTCCTTTTAGGCAAGGCTGCTGGATGGCCACCCAGACTCTTTGCCACCCTCTGGGTGCAGTTAGGACTGGCTAAAGGTGGAGAACACCAGTCCCTCAAACGCCCTTGGCCCATGTGCTTTTCAACAGGCATGCAATACAGACAGACAGCATCCTTAAAGGAGCAGACAGCCCTCTTAAAGGAGCTTTCAGGAAAACAAAGTGGCTTGAAACAGAACACAAGCACTAATACTACATTTAAAGCTTTGACTCTATACCAAGTTTCCTTAGACCAAAAAAATAAAATAAATAAAAAGGGGTGGAGGAGGCTATTGAAGTAACTCCAAAGATATAGAGTGTCAAGTATTTGTCATTTAATTGTTGTCCTGGTGTACACTGGCAGGCCTTATGATCTACCGATAAGTTCACTTAAACATCGTACCTTTGCCGACTGGTGTTAGGTTGTGCTGTGTTTTCAGAAGCGGCAGGTGTTCTGCGGAATGTTTGGTACTGAAATGGCTTGGCCCTTTGAAGGACGCCACTGGACAGCAGGGTCTGCCATGGCCCTCTAGGGAGCCCCCGACTGATATACCTTCATGACCAACCCTGATCTGTGCCCAAGCTCCAGATCCCTTTTCCACATTTAGGTTTAAGTGTAAGTAAGTTCAGGAAGTTCAAATTTGTGCTTCCCCTCTTCCCACCTTCCAATATATTTTAACTCCTTTCTTCAAATGACTCTTTCCAAGCAGAACCCTGACCCTACCATTTCCCTGTTCACACATGCCTTGACCGCCTGCTGTTGTTAGGTGCCATTCTATCCTTGCCTCTCCAACGGGATCCTATGCCCAATGGAACCAAACACTCCCTGGCCCTGTGCCATCCTCACAACTGTTCCTATGCTTGAGCCCATTGGTGCTCCCACTAGGTCAATCCATCTCCTTAAAAGCCTTTCTCCAAGAGGGGGAACCAATCACAATGATCAACATATAACACCCCCCAGGGGGACAAACAACAGAAAAGTGGGTGAAGGGAGACAGTGATCAGTGTAAGACATGAAAAAAAAATTTATAAATTATCAAGGGTTCATGAGGGATGGGGAAAATG